GCTGCTTGGCCTGCTGTGTTCATCCAGCTCTACGCCTTGTTATCTCATATTTATAAGTGTAGTCGCTGCTGTAATATAAGAAACTTGCAGTCAATTTACATGCAAAGGTCCCACAAAATGACTTAAATCTGCCCTAACTATTTATTCACCAAGCTGTGTTGCACTCTGTATTACTTCAAAAAACATGCATCAATGATCTCAAGTGGAATATACTACTGACTAGCTGACTAGGTTTCTAGTGTTTGCTTGCAAACCTTGTTGATCCTTGCATTCTGAATTCCCCTTAGTATTGATAGCAGTTGGGAACAATTCACCTGTTCTGAAGAAGGGTCACTGGACTTAAATGTTAACTCTGATTTCTCTCCACCCATGCTGCTCGACCTGCTGAGCTTTTCTAGCAATTTCAGTTATTGTTTCAGCTAATTCTGTATAGTTGCTGATTTCCATCTTCGTTTCTGCAAGAACAATATTTTTTGTGCCAACGTAGCTAATCTGAATGAGCTCTGTCTTTCACTTGGGTCATAGAATGAGTCTAAGGATCCCCATGTAACCTTCTACCAGCACTTGTTTGACCAGTTGTTCCACAACCACCTGTTCCTTAACCAAATGTCTTTAACCCATTGTTCCATGACTAACTGTTGCTGGACCAATGGTTTCTTAACTTTGTTACAGAAATAGTAGGAATTGCAGATGCTGGAGAATCTGAGATAACAAGGTGTAGAGCTGGATGAACACAGCAGGCCAAGCAGCATCAGAGGAGCAGGAAAGCTGACATTTCAGGCCTAGACCCTTCATCAGAAATGGGGGAGGGGAAGGGGATTCTGAAATAAATAGGGAGAGAGGGGGAGGCGGATAGAGGAGAAGATAGGTGGAGAGGAGACAGACAGGTCAAAGAGGCGGGGTTGGAGCCAGTAAAGGTGAATGTAGGTGGGGAGTTAGGAAGGGGATAGGTCGGTCCAGGGAGGACGGACAGGTCAAGGAGGCGGGATGAGGCTAGTGGGTAAGAGATGGGAGTAGGGCTTGAGGTGGGAGGAATGGTTAGGGAGGCGGGGACTAGCTGGGCTGGTTTTGGGATGTGGTCGGGGGAGGGGAGATTTTGAAGCTTGTGAAGTCCACATTGATACCCTTGGGCTGCAGGGTTCCCAAGCAAAATATGAGATGCTGTTCCTGCAACCTTTGGGTGGCAACGTTGTGGCAATGCTCCCCCTCCCACTCCTTGGACGACATGTCCATCCTGGGCCTCCTGCATTGCCACAATTGTCACTAGCCTTATCCCGCCTCCTTGACCTGTCCATCCTCCCTGGACCGACCTATCCCCTCCCTAACTCCCCACCTACATTCACCTTTACTGGCTCCAACCCCGCCTCTTTGACCTGTCTGTCTCCTCTCCACCTATCTTCTCCTTTATCCATCTTCTATCCGTGCCCCCCCTTCTATTTATTTCAGAATCCCCTTCCCCTCCCCCATTTCTGAAGAAGGGTCTCGACCTGAAACGTCAGCTTTCCCGCTCCTCTGAGGTTTCTTAACTCTAATTTGTTTAAAACTAATGGGACGAGCATAGAAATGTCATAATGTTGATGTTTATGGGCCTCATGCTGGAGAATAGGACTGTTTTAGATTTGGTGTAGTTTTGGCAGTACGGACTCAATGGACCTAAAGGGCCTCTTCTGTATTGTGTGATTCTAGTTTGACTGCTTCCATCCATTTGAAGAAGATTGAGGTCAAGATATGCTTTCATACTCAAGAGTGTGTTGTGATCCTGGATGGGACTACCTACTTAAGTTAAAATCTCAGAGTAAGCCACCAACTTTGTGTTATGATCTGATTAGGGATCGGTAGCTTTTTTGTTTAAAGTTGACAAAAGATGATATCCAGAGGACCTATTAAGAGCGTAAAGCCACAAGATTCTACAGTTTTGAACAAACAAGACATTACTGTGCAATTAGAATACTAATACAATTTTTAATACATGTGCAACTTATTTCTAGCATTCAGAATGAACTTGTGATAAACATGAGTAATATAATGTGACTGAGCACCCCACTGTGCACATCAAATAGCAAATGCAGATCCAAGGATTTCTCAGTAACTCGCCCAGATGTTAATAACATGATGGGTGATCAAATCTCATTAAACTTTTTAGAGGATTACGATTCTTTAGTATTGCAGAGCCAGCCTTGAAACCCCCTCTCAACAGCCACTTCGTACTGTTTCCCTCAATGACTGCTCATGTTCTGGTTGATCAACCACCTGTTCAGGGTTCATGCTCCACTGGACTTCAAAACTACATTCTGGTACTTATTCACAGGTACAACTCCAACCTTTTGCTGACAGCTAGCTTCACCAAGCTAGTTCTTGCTTTGCATTTTTCCTTGAGCTCCCATCTTGCTGAGCTGTATCAAGTAACAACTGAGATAACACTGTGTGGAGCTGGAGGAACACAGGAGGAACACAGCTGTGTTCCTCCAGCTCCACACTGTGTTATCTCTGACTCCAACATCAGCAGTTCTTATTATCTCAAGTAACAACTGCATGTGGCTTTCCAACTCCCACTGTAAGCCATACTGACCTATTAGTGACACTCAGCTTCTTGTGAGCCACCAGAACTTCTTTGAGGACTTGGGACATTTCCTAAGACCTGACCACAACACCTTGCTGCCTAATAATTCTTAGAACTTGCATTCTAACAGCACAGAGATTTCCATCTACTCTTAGGACTTAACTATCTGTCCCTTACGTAAAACTCAAGTAGTTCAGTTGCCTTCTCTGCAATACAGCTAAAAATCAGTAATTCTAGCAGGGTGTCTACTCTTTGTCTCATTCTTAATTACTTCTTCAATCTGTCTATTACCTTTGAACATCACTTGAATGAAAATGGCTTGGCTGTACTGAAAGCAGCCCATGTCATGACAGGGCCTGGGGTGTGGAAATGGGTAAAGGATATCAGAGAAATTTTTCAGGTTCTAAAATGATTCAACTTGATATTGAGTCCTGAAAACTGCAGGTTCCCCATTCAGAAAGTCTCATTTTACCTTAGTTAAGGTCCCTGTTATCAGCTTTTCTTTCTTCTGAGCTGAATATCATCCATCCATTCATCTCCCCAACTCTCCTTCTCTCTCTCTTTCTCTCTGTGTACTCCATCTCCACCTATCTGCTTGCTCCTTTTCACACCCAACTCCTGCTTCAGCATAAATACCACCTTTTCCTAGCTACTACCAGCTCTGAAGAAGGGTCACTGGACCCAAAACGTTAACTCTGATTTTTTTCTTCACCAGATGCTGCCAGACCTGTTGAGCTTTTCCAGCAACTTCTGTTTTGTTCCTGATTTACAGCATCGGCAGTTCTTTCAGGTTCTTATCCACAGTTCTTTGTTTTATTTAAGAACCTTTAGTATCTGCTGTCTATCCTGCTCACCGTACTGGCTTCTGCCATTGTTCTGTTGTGATGGTTTATCTTAAGATCTGAATAGATTGTGCTGATTTCCTGTGGTAAAGTTGATCATCTCCTTTCATCGCTGATCTGTGCTGCTTCCAAATTTCTGGGTCACTCACCATCTGAATGAGATTCTCAAGAGTCAAAACTTCTTTTTACTGTATTAATCAGACAGACTCATTAGCAATTCCAACAGCACTTCTGTCTCTTATGAACTCTGGTTTAACTCACTATAATCAAATTTCTCCACTGTTGAGGTTATTAATTTAATTATCTAAGGATTTCCCTGGATGTAGAACTCTCAATTAAATCTTTCTCTTGTAAGTCTTACAAGAAGTCGATTTGTTTTGAAGTTAAGGCAATTGCCAAAACTTCCAGCAAACTTCCAACTGAGACTTCTTTTATACCTTACAAAGCTGTAATATCATCAGCTATTCTTCCAATTGTTCATAGTCTATTTATATGCACAGCTTCTGATTTAGTATCCAATCTGCATGTAATTCTGTATCTTAAGAATTGGTTTGCCCATAATGTCTAATTCTGTCTACAATTTGACCCATTTCTGAACTTACGTTTTCCAGTTAATATTATGCCTGATGCCATATCATCTTTAATGTTATCATTTCCAAATGGAAGTGCTGTTGTTCATTGTGCCAATGAATAGTTTACCTGTCATTTTGAAGTCAAAATAGAGGATTTTCACTTTCTGCAGCTAGGGTGGAGGCCACCTGGTCTTCACAGGTAAAGTGGAGGATTCCCAACTTTTTTATAGCTTTTCTGGATGAATCCTGCTAATTGCAGACTGAAGAAATTATTTCCATTTCTTTCACAGTTTTTCCTGAATGATTCCAGCTGTCTGTAGTTTCAATAAATGCTTTCCTCCTTTACAGTGATTTTAATAATGGATCTTTTCTGCAGCCTTAATAAATTCTCCCAGCTTATGTTTCCATTTGACCTCGCCTGTTGAGGCTTCTAAATTGCCCCTTTATTGCTTTAATTCTAACATAATGAATCCCCCACATACGTAACTTCAAGTTCATATGCTTCTGTGGCCCTTGATTTCCCTTACTGTAGCCGTGCCATATGTTGCCCATTTGGAATGACAGTGATGCTTGGTCTGTTCTGCAAGTACTTCTCTTTACTTCTGGCTTTCCTAGCCTCTAATTCCTCGCCTTTTAAACAAGGTTTTCTCATGCTCATCAGGGATTGAAACACAACTCGCAGGGTATCTGAAGTCTTGGAATACATCTACAGATCACCGGCACCCAATGCAACCCCTGACTGCCTGGGAGGGACCAATGCTCCAGTTCCAAGGAGTTCCCAATTTTCTTACCACCCCAGTGGTGCTTTTACCATGGACTATAGATACTGTCTTGTTGCACCTTGCCACAGATTGTTCGTTAGTAGAGTTCTTAAATGTTCAGCTCTTCCCAGTGCTGAATGTCTGCCTGACAGTGGTTTTTAAGGTTTTATCTGAAGAAACCTTCAGACCTCCAAATGCTGCCAGCAAGCTGTAGCATCAGCTAATGGAAATTACTTCACTGCTTACTGTGTTGTTAAAGCAATCCACATCACTGACTATCATGTTGTCTGAGACTGGCTGTCTTCACAACCGCGCATCTTGTGCTGCATTTGCTACCATCATCCTCTTTTAGGGTAGGGTCCTGCAGGGTCTGCTTGCTTGAGTATGGTGGAGGAAAACCAGTCTTTTGAGAAAAGGTTCTTCTGTTAAACAAGGTAGAGTTTTTTTGCATTTGAGCAATAATGTACAATTTACATGATCGAATTGACATTATTACCAAGACTACCAAGAGGACCTGGATGGTAAATCATACTCCTTTGAGATCCTAATCTGTTCTCCCACCAAATCCATATATCACCAAAAGTGATTCGTAAGACACTCTTCAGTATTAACCCCGTCAGATTCTCCACAACAAAGGAACAGTGATATAGTTTTGCATCAGAATATTGAGTGGTGTAGGTGTGACCTTGGTTTCTGAGGGCAAGGAGACTTTAAAGGTGTCGGGAATGGAACAGCAGCTTATTTGAGCGGCAATCGATTACAGCAAGGGGAGGTGCTCCAAATCATCACGCAGGACAATCGAACTCACTCTACAGAACATCCGCGCAACACTATTTTATAGTTTCTTACATTGCAATTGTGTAATTCTACAAACTGTTATTATGCAGTTGATTTTAATCAATATATATCTATAAGTTAATTAACTAAGTGGTAATTACATCAAGTCTGTAAATCAATTGACTGGGCAGTCAGTTACACCAGGTTTGTAAATTAATTACATCAAATTCATTAATCAATTAACAAGGCATGTTGATTACATCAAATTGTTGTGTATTTCATATCTACTAGTTGGATTCAAACACCCGGTGCCCTTTCACTTATGTGATCACTTGCTTATCTTGTAACCTTTGCCCATTGAATATCCAGTGGTCTGCTAAAATTCTGCCCTGCTTACTCATATCGGTTAGCAATTAACAAGGCTTCCGTGGTCTGGGTGGCGTGTCTTTAGTAATGCAGGGTCAACGCCTTTAAAATATCCTATTCTATGGTTTTTGTGAGACACTACACCATAAGCCTCTT